AAAACTGCTTTACAGTTGGATTTCTTGATAAGAGTGATTTAAAGAATTAACAGCTTCCTGCTGTTTGATTTCCTTTATTTTAGTACTTACTGCTTTTACACCAATAATGAAAATAGGCTGTATTTTGATACACTGAAAATTTCATATTAGTGTTCATATGACATAGTATAAGTATTAAAACAAATCTCCTAGTACATATTAGCAAAATCTCTCCCACTGTCTTCCTGTTGATTCTCTTAAAGCCCCAGATTCTCCACTATCACCCTCAATTCAGTCTTGATTTTCATAGTCTCAGCTCAGCTTCCCGTTCTGCTTCTAGCTGGGTCCTGGTTAAGACAAGAGGTTCCATGGTTTGTTCATAAATGATTCTCTCTTATTTTTGCGATATGAATAAGAACAGAAAATCAGTATGACTCTCACGTCAAATATTAAACTCTAACTTTGGTTCAGCAAGGACAACCTTGTTTAAACAACATTCACCTCATTGCAGATGCAGTTTAATCTTTTATTAAACCATAGAAATGATTCAATCTTTTATAGAAAAACCAAAACCATGTTATCACAGGAAGATTGTGACCTAGGCCAGTCAGAATAAAATATGGTCTCAAGAGATGGTAAAAATTGAGAGTGGGTTTAAGTATGACCTTGTGACAGACCTAGATATGCAAGGAGTATCTGAAATGTCATTGAAGCTAGAAGATACTTTTAACAGGACTGCTCAAGCAGTGATGAAAATGTACCACATGGAAACAGTTCAGAAAGTGTTTTTTTTTTTTTTAAGTGCATTAAGAAAACAAGCCGTAAAATGTAAATACAATGCTAAAGTAAACAAACATCCTCTAAACAACCCCATGCAAACAAACAAGCAAAAAAAAAAAAAAAAAAAAAAAAAAAAAAAAAAAAAAAAAAAAAAAAAAAAAAAAAAGCATTTTAAACCGTTTTATTAGGAAATTCAACTCTGAGAGCTCAATAAAAATTTATATAAAAAACTGATTTCTGCAGATGTCTGAGTAGAGATGTTGGTTTTAGTCTTTTTAATTGCTACCATGGTACAGTTTAACTCTTGGGAATTGACATAGTAACAAATTGGGTAACAAGGCCTAATGTGAGCAGAGTCACCGTCAGATCATACTATATATTTCATATTCTAAAGAGGACTACAGATACAATTAAAGTACAATTAGAGTAAATGCTGGGGAATGTCCTGAAATGACTAAATCATATAAGCACACAGATCCACTCAATGAGAAATTAAAAATGGTCACATTTCAGAACCTTTTACAAAAAGCTATGTAAAGGAGTGACCTAAAAATGACATTGTCAGACTTATTCTTCTACATGAGCAAGGAAAAAAAAAAGCGCATTTTCAGTGAAGTCTTCCCTTCTGATGTAGGAATAATCTGAAGCGTGGGTGTGACATGATACTTTTACCAGTATTCCCATTCCGCTGTATGAGTAGTATAAACACGCTGAGGTAATAGAGAACCACAGAGCAATGCTGTTTTGAAAATTAAAACATATAAAAATAGTAGGACTTGTAGGACCACTTCTACCTAAAGAAAAGACTATCAAGTCATACAGCATTATCAAAGATCACAAACTGAAAACTGTAAGCAAATTTATCATGAAACTCTATAAGGACCTTTGTTTGATTTATATTTACTTGGAGAAAAAAAATGAAATAATCATATTGCTTTGTCTACTTTTAAGATAATCAGAGTAACTCAAGTAAGTATATAAATTTACAAGTATCTTAAATGTTTCTACTGAGCACTTCATTTGTTTTCTCATTTTTAAAATTCTTTTTGTGCCACTAGTGTTGAAAAGCTATTTAAAACATCTTAATGCATAATCACTCTGCGTGCTATCAGATTTAGTGGTAGTTTCAGAAATAAGCCAAATTTATATATGCAAGGTAAGCCTAATTAGTTAGGCTCACAAAAAATGTAATATCCGATTTTCAGAACCTAATGTGCTCAAGAAAGTATTTGTGCTTTTAAATTAGGAGAACAGCTCTGTATTTAATTAGGCCTCATTTGAGGACGTAATCATTTTAATTTATTTGCACAAACACAGGACACTGTGCTCCATCAGCAGACAATGTTCTTCATTAACTAAAGTAGGGACTTTGTGCACAAGGGTAGATGATGTATTCCTACCTGTGATGCAAGATCCTAACTGCACACTGCTAGATTTCATTCTTCAGTTTATAGTTGCCATTCTGAGACATACACTGGTCAATATAAAACACTTTTAAGTAAGTACTCTGCCAATCCCTAGAAATCGATAATATTTAATGTTTTATTTTACCTATTTCCCGGTTATGAGTATTCAATTATTAAAGAACAAAGAAGCTTATTGAAATTCAAGTAACAGTAATGTATTAAAATTCAAACTTCAATAATTAGGATGGTGGTAGAGTTACAAATCAATTATGTCTTCACTGGTGGTGTAAAATATTAATAGCACAGATTGTACAGAGTGGTGAGAATAGGTTTTACTTAAGCTGTTTGAAAGTAACTACTGTACTCTTGACAAGCTAATGATATGATAGGTCATTCTTATCTACTATTCATAAAAGCACAGGATCCAAACAGGATCCAATTCTTCCTTAGGGCATTCACAACAAGCTTTGATATCTTGTTATTTCCATTCCTTCCCCCAAATCCTAAATACATCCTAAAAAAAAAAAAAAAAAAAAAAAAAAAAAAAAAAAAAAAAGGAATCTCTTGTTAACTACTGTAACTCTTTGAAAAGGTACTTATGTTTTTGCCTAACTCTAAATGTTTATAAAATATATAAAATGCCCTGTAAGATATATATATAATATATACATACACACAATTATATATACACATTACTGTTATATGTTATATATACATATATACACACATTATACACACACACACACACACACACACACACACACACATTATTATTTATTTCTCTCACAGGGCAAGTTAAGAAAATTGTCTGAGTCATTACGTCAGCTCTGCTCTATACGACAACAGGCAGATCTCCAATGTACTCCTGAATTCCCACAATTCTCCACAACTAGGTCACAGTACCCTATAGGAGATTATAATTTCTAGAGTTCTCCTTTTGACCAAAGCTCTAAATTCTTCCATTTATATGGAAAAAAGTGTATAACTTCAGAAAGGAAAGTCTCCTTTTTTTTTTTAATAGGTAATGAATACTATAAAAATAATGCATAATTTGATCTTCAGAGACAACTGTCCTTACTTAGCTTTGGAGTATATTTCAGTTGAGCAATGCCCATTAAAGCTTACAAATAAACTTGGAAAATGTCAATGCACAGTAATTAAATTCTACCTGAAATCATGTCATTAGATACATTTTAAAAAATTCTCTTTGACTGGATGCTTAGTACGTGAGGACATAATTAGCATTTTAAGATTTATAGAATTTTGCACCATCTTTATAACTGTGTCTGGAGGAAGAATGCCTCTTCCTACAAGCTTAGTTACATAGCTCTTGGAAGCACCCACTGGTAAAGGTGGTAATGTAACATGGTATTAAAAGTCATAAAATATACATTTATACCATACATACAAGCAGTTATCTGTCCTTGATATACATGCATGCATAAGTAAGTAACACATAACACAGTAGCTCCAGTGAGTGAACTTGCAGATCCATTCATGGTAAATTTATTATCCAGGAACAATCACTAAGTGAGCTTGAAGTTATACTGAGTGTCTCTAGTATTTAAAGGTACATGTATATGGTTTTGGTATAAAATGGGCCCTACCTAAAAGCAAGCTAGATGCTCTTCTTGTAACTTAACTCAAGAAAGAGAAATCTACTACAATGCCAGACAAAAAAGTTATTACATATAACTTTTTGAAACATAGTTTTTCAGTTTTTAAAGTATGCATAAATATGGCGACATATATTGCATTTTAAAGACAAATTTTAAAAGGGAAATTTTGGCTATACAGGACTCACCAGGTAGCAAGCAAACTCTAGAACTAACCTTTTGCATTAAATACAATTCCACTATAAAGCTGTTTTGACAGGATAACCGTTATATATAAAATGGGTTTGCATGTAATCATTTTGGAGTTCTATAAGACAAGTAACAATAGTCTCTCAATATTGATTTAAATTAAAAAGTATTATCTTGGGGCTGGGAGAGGCAAAAAAATAAAACAATTTGATCCATTTGGGGAATCTGGCTGAAGATTAATGGTCTAAGTCTAAGCAACAGTAGGGAAATTTAATTCCCAAAGCATCCTCTACACTGATCATTGGGAAAAACTGGATATTCACAGAAGGCACTCATTATATCTACCTTAACAATATTAGTGTGTATTTATAAAATGAACTGAAAAAGACAAAACAAATACTATCCACGGATTACAGTAAAAAATAACTCTAAAACACTTTGGTATGTTTGAAAACCCAGCCCAAAACAAATTAGTGAGAGTATTCCTCTAGGAAATTAAGTATTAATGAAGAAAAACATATTTATATGATTCCAGAGATCAGAAATCATGATCTTACAAGAAATGTGTTTTATTATCTTAACCTCCTTATACGATTGAAAACTAACTTTTAAAAAGAACCATTAACATCAGTTTGGTGTTTGTTTTTATTTGGTCTGAAAGTCTCCTTTTTTGAAAAAGGCAACATTTTCCTTCCCATAAGGCATCTTTCTCACAACTGTAAATGAGCCTGTCCAAAAATCAGAGGCAGTTTTCTTCAGAAAAAGCCAATGCTATATCAAAATACAAGATATAGCATTTTCTCATAGATTCTCTGGCAAGAGAACATGACATGAACCAAATAAATTTAATACAAGGAAATAATGTTGTAACTCAAAGTACATTGCTTTTCATTTAATCTCTTTTCTGATTCTATACTAAATGACTTCTATTCTTCAAGCTTATAATAAATTATGAATACAAGTTAAAACCAGAACCTAATTAAAGAAAATGCGACACCGAAAACAGCAAAAGTCAACTCAACACAGTTAAAACTGGGAAAATTTTAATTACTAAGCATCAAATGCACTTTACATTGATAACTGCAGTACTGAAACTGTGACGTTTTAAATCTTTTTCTCAAAAAAGGTTAGTGATTTTCTTTTTCCTAGGAAACATGGAGATACGACTATGAACATTAATGCGTTCAGTCTAGGTCACTATGGTTTAGTTCATGCTAACCTCAACAGGTGCTCACACTTCCTGTCTACAATCAAGTAGACTAGGAACTTGCTGTCTTGTTGAATTTTAGCAAAAACTCCATGAGATAATTTAAAGGAATGTCAAATTTGTGCAGGGCAAACTCATAAAACTCTACATTGGGATCACTTTTTTGCTTCAAGTGCATCTAACTTGAGAATACAGGCAATTTTTCTTTCCCAATCCCTTGGAAAAACATTTCTGCAGTACATCTTGTGTCTTCTTAACCAAGACTGGGTTGTTTTTAAGAAAAGATTATCAGCCCTGTGGTCAGTTTCCCACAGTTGATAAAAATCTATCAAAAACATCTTAATATAATTTGCAAGAAAAAAAATCTGTTTTTCAAAGGCTGCAGAACAGGAAAGAAATAGCACTTCTTATTGGTATAAGCACAAACATTTAAAGCTAGTCATACTGCAAGTAAATCCAACATAGTATTCAAAAGTTCTATAAAAATGAACAAAAGATGTATGTTTACTTCCACTGCGCCAATAGTCAAACGTTAGATCTGCACGGGAGTTGCACTGTAGCAGTTCGCTGGTCCAATATAAGAGTTCAAAGTCCTTTTGGCTCAATGGTGTCCACATGCCAGATCAATTCAGTTCAAAAAACGGAAATTAGGGCAAAGACTCCATATAACAAAGCACAAGGATATGCTACTAGAAGTTGCTGTCCTTCCATGGCTAATGCAGAAATAAAAATTTTGGAAGCCGAAAAACTACACCAACCAATAATTCCAGCAGTGAGAATGATTCCTACCATTCCTCTGTAACCGACAAGGAAAAAGGGGAGGGGGG